TCAGCATAACAGTATTCCTTGTTTTTGCACCACACCCAGTGCTCCATGCAATCCGTGCCCTCTCTAATACCCACCACCTGGATCCCCCAGCCTCCCCCCACCAACCCACTGCTTCAAACCGCTCAGATTGTTTTTCAGAGTCCATGGTCTCTCATGGTTCACCTCCCCTTCCAATTTCCCCCAACTCCCTTCTCCTCTCTAACTCCCCTTGTCCTCCATGCTATTTGTTATGCTCCACAAGTAAGTGAAACCATATGATAATTGACTCTCTCTGTTTGACTTATTTCACTCAGCATAATCTCTTCCAGTCCCGTCCATGTTGCTACAAAAGTTGGGTATTCATCCTTTCTGATGGAGGCATAATACTCCTTAGTGTATATGGACCACATCTTCCTTATCCATTCGTCCATTGAAGGGCATCTTGGTTCTTTCCACAGTTTGGCGACCATGGCCATTGCTGCTATAAACATTGGGGTACAGATGGCCCTTCTTTTCACTCCATCTGTATCTTTGGGGTAAATACCCAGTAGTGCAATGGCAGGGTCATAGGGAAGCTCTATTTTTAATTTCTTGAGGAATCTCCACAGTGTTCTCCAAAGTGGCTGCACCAACTTGCATTCCCACCAACAGTTTAACAGGGTTCCCCTTTCACCAAATCCTCTCCAACACATGTTGTTTCCTGTCTTGCTAATTTTGGCCATTCTAAGTGGTATAAGGTGGTATCTCAATGTGGTTTTAATTTGAATCTCCCTGATGGCTCGTGATGATGAACATTTTTTCATGTGTCTGATAGCCATTTGTATGTCTTCATTGGAGAAGTGTCTGTTCATGTCCTCTGCCCATTTTTAAACATGATTATCTGTTCTGTGTGTGTTGAGTTTGAGAAGTTCTTTATAGATCCTGGATATCAACCTTTTGTCTGTATAGTCATTTGCAAATATCTTCTCCCATTCCGGGGTTGCCTCTTTGTTTTGTTGACTGTTTCCTTTGCTGTGCAGAAGCTTTTGATCTTTTTTTTTTATATTTAAAAAAAAAATTTTTTTTCAGCATAACAGTATTCCTTGTTTTTGCACCACACCCAGTGCTCCATGCAATCCGTGCCCTCTCCAATACCCACCACCTGGTTCCCCCAACCTCCCACCCCACGCTGCTTCAAACCCCTCAGATTGTTTTTCAGAGTCCATAGTCTCTCATGGTTCACCTCCCCTTCCAATTTCCCCCAACTCCCTTCTCTCTAACTTCCCCTTGTCCTCCATGCTATTTTTTTTATGCTCCACAAATAAGTGAAACCATATGATAATTGACTCTCTCTGCTTGACTTATTTCACTCAGCATAATCTCTTCCAGTCCCATCCATGTTGCTACAAAAGTTGGGTATTCATCCTTTCTGATGGAGGCATAATACTCCATAGTGTATATGGACCACATCTTCCTTATCCCTTCGTCCGTTGAAGAGCATCTTGGTTCTTTCCACAGTTTGGTGACCGTGGCCATTGCTGCTATAAACATTGGGGTACAGATGGCCCTTCTTTTCACTACATCCGTATCTTTGGCATAAATACCCAGTAGTGCAATGGCAGGGTCATAGGGAAGCTCTATTTTTAATTTCTTGAGGAATCTCCACACTGTTCTCCAAAGAGGCTGCACCAACTTGCATTCCCACCAACAGTGTAAGAGGGTTCCCCTTTCTCCACATCCTCTCCAACACATGTTGTTTCTTGTCTTGCTAATTTTGGCCATTCTAACTTGTGTAAGGTGATATCTCAATGTGGTTTTAATTTGAACCTCCCTGATGGCTCGTGATGATGAACATTTTTTCATGTGTCTGATAGCCATTTGTATGTCTTCATTGGAGAAGTGTCTGTTCATATCTTCCCATTTTTTGATATGATTGTCTGTTTTGTGTGTGTTGAGTTTGAGAAGTTCTTTATAGATCCTGGATATCAACCTTTTGTCTGTACTGTCATTTGCAAATATCTTCTCCCATTCCGTGGGTTGCCTCTTTGTTTTGTTGACTGTTTCCTTTGCTGTGCAGAAGCTTTTGATTTTGATGAAGTCCCAAAAGTTTATTTTCACTTTTGTTTCCTTTGCCTTTGGAGACATGTCTTGAAGAAGTTGCTGTGGCTGATATCGAAGAGGTTACTGCCTATGTTCTCCTCTAGGATTCTGATGGATTCCTGTCTCATGTTGAGGTCTTTTATCCATTTCGAGCTTTCCTTTGTGTATGGTGTAAGAGAATGTAAGATAACTGGGAATAAACCTAACCAAAGAGGTAAAGGATCTATAATCGAGGAACTACAGAACATTTATGAAAGAAATTGAAGAAGACACAAAAAGATGGAAGACCATTCCATGCTCTTGGATCGGAAGAATAAACTTTGTTAAAATATCTATACTGCCTAGAGCAATCTATACTTTTAATGCCATTCCGATCAAAATTCCACCGGTATTTTTCAAAGAGCTGGAGCAAATAATCCTAAAATTTGTATGGAATCAAGAAGAGACCCCAAATTGCTAAGGAAATGTTGAAAAACAAAAATAAAACTGGGGGCATCATGTTACCTGATTTCAAGCTTTACTACAAAGCTGCGATCACCAAGACAGCATGGTACTGGCATAAAAACAGACACATAGACCAGTTGAACAGACTAGAGAGCCCAGATATGGACCCTCAACTCTGTGGTCAAATAATCTTCAACAAAACAGGAAAAAATATATAGTGGAAAAAAGACAGTCTCTTCAATAAATGGTGCTGGGAAAATTTTACAGCTATATGTAGAAGAATAAAACTTGACCATTCTCTTACTTTTTGCCATTTTAATTACCATTTGTCTTGGTGTGGATCTCTTTGGATTGAATGTTTCAGGGAGTCTCTGTGCTTCTGGGATCTAGATATCTGTTTCCCAGGTTAGGGAAGTTTTCAGCAGCTGTTTCTTCAAAAAATTTCTACCCCCTTTTCTCCCTTCTTTTTCTGAGATCCCTATAATCTGAGTGTTATTATGCTTGATGGAGTCACTGAGTTCTCTAAGACTACTCTCAATTTGCATAATTTTCTTTCCTCTCCTTTGCTTAGTTAGGTTAATTTTCACTCTTCTGTCTTACAGGTCATGAATTTGTGTCTCTGCTCCATCTAGGCTGCTATTTATTCTGCCAAGTGTATTTTAAATTTCATTTATTGTCTTCTTGATCTCTCATTGGTTCTTAAAAAAAAAAAATCTTTGCTAAGAGTCTCATTGATATCCTTCACTCTTTTCTCAAATCCAGTGAGTATCTTTATGATCATTACCCTATATATTTTTTTTATCAGGCATATAACTTACATCTGTTTGAATCTCTTGTTGTGGTTTGGTCCTTTTCTTTCATTTTGGACTTATTTCTTAGTTTCCTTTTGTCTAAATCCTTGTGTCTGTTTCTATGTTAGGAAAGTCAGCTACTTCTCCTGATCTTAATGATAATAGCTCTATGAAGAAGAGGACCTGAGTATCCTACAATGCAGTGTCCCATTTCCCCAGGGCTTGGCATTTCAGGGAATGTCTCCTATGTGTGTTGCATGTGCTCTGCTGTTGAGTCTTGTCCTCTTTTACCTTCAGTCTAATTGTCTGCAGAGGCTGTCTTTGCTCATTGCGGGCAGTGTTTGGTTCCCAGCAGAGTCGGGGTGGGGGGGGGCGTGTGTTTTAACATGTCTGGTGATCTGCTTGTGAAATGAGACATGCCCTGTCAATGGAACTGAGGCCCCTCAAAGTGCATAGGTTGGGAGATGTATTGCACTGGCCTTCTGGGGAAGGGGTCCTGGAGTGATGGGATTAATGGTAGTGTGACTCAGAAAGTGGATCTGCTGAAGCTTGGGGTTAAGGAGGCTTGGTGCAAGCAAGTTAGGTAATCAGTATTGGCACCAGTGTGCTGGTTCCCACAGGTGGCTGTTTGTGCAGGGGAGGTGGGGGAGGGAAACAGAGCCTGATAACTCCTTTGTTTCTGAAGGGGGTTTCCATGTGATCTCTGTCTCTGTGGGCCATGCTCTGAGATGAAAAATTGCTCTCCCTCCCTTCTGCCCTGGCATTTTTCACACTGACGGTTCTACACTATATCTGTACAGCCTGTTTGTCATGCTCTCCCTTTAAGAACTCAGGTTCCTAATATCCTCTGGACTCTCCCAGAGCCTAGAAGGCTGATTTTTAAAATTTCAGGCTTTAAGTCCTGCTGCTTTTGCCCCTCTTGCTTTCAAAGGCAAATGTTATGGGATTCATCCTCCCCATTCCTGGCTCCCTGGTGGTTTTTGCCCTTCTATGCAACACCAGCTCCCTCCCCACCTTGAAAGTTATGGTTTGTGTCACCCCCAGACTCTGTCTTAACCCTTCCTACCTTCTTTGATGTGGCCTCTTCTCTACCTTTAGTTGTGGAGTTTGTCCTGCCAGTCTTCAGATTTATTTTCTGGGTTATTTATGCTAATATGAGTGTAATCTAGTTGAATTCATTGAACAAGGTGAGCTTAGGGTTCTCCTACTCTGCCATCTTCCCAGCCAACCAATCCTAGTGTGTGTATGTGTATTTTTTAAAGAAATCAACATCTCCCAATGATGGGACCTTGTACTTTCAAATTTTTATTAATTTCCTTCTTCGAAGTCCTTCTAATTTTTTTATTCCTTTTTCATGACTTTTTTTCCCTTATCTGACATTCTTTCTGTGTTCCCTTATTCCCTCAGCTGAAGATTCTGATACGAATCTCCCCATATCTATTATGGTGAGGTCCAGGACTGATCCTGAGGTTACAGGTATCTCTGAAGGGGCTGAGGATGGAGGAAGAAGCCCTGGTTCTGTAGTTCACCATTAGTTGAGAATGGTGCAGGGGGGTGGTCACCTCCTGCCCTTTTAGGAGAGTTGTATATTGGAAGTACAGGCTTCTGAAAGTTCAAGGCTCAGAGCCAGCTATATTCCAAGCCATTAATATCCATATCTTGGTAGTTGCCATCTCCTTTGGGGATTATCATAAGAGAGATACTTACCCAGTCCAGGATGTAGATGACCTGGGTGTCATGGAGCAGCTGCTCATCCCTGAGGTGGACACATGAAAGACTCATTCTGTTAAAGGGGTCTAGAAATGTTTCCTTGAGAGCCCTGAGCCCTGCTCACATCCTTACTTAGGACTATAGCCAAGGAAGGAGAAGTTAGAACTTAAACTAAACTGAAAACTTACAGGCCTGTCAGAGAGGCAGTTGCAGAATGTGGCACCAGACATCTGATCACTTGCAAACCATAGTGAATTATGGCCATCAGATCTGTTTAATCATAGCTGGGCATTAGGAGTTAGCAAAATGTCTCAGTCCCAGCCCCTGCCACTGGGGCCCAGGTCCTTGATTTCTCACTTCCTGTCTCCTTTTTTGTTTGGAAAATAGACACAATGAGGCTTGAATTCTCATCCTATTCTGAATCCCCCCACCCTCCCCACCCCACCATTTTAGGAAGCAGAAAACTAGTAGCAGCAACAGTTGGGATCATAAGTCAACATTTTTATATTCTAGGTCATCAGATGATTATTCTCAAAGCCCTGCAGTGACTTTCTTGAAAGTCAGCCGTTCTTAGATAAATGATAAAATCCTTCAAGCTGAGGTAAGTTTGGCTCTTTTGGCCTATTGACCCTTAGGGATCAGCAGCCAAGAAAATATCCTCTGTATCTCATGATGGAGGCTACCTGGTCATAATTCTTTACATTCTGATGAATGGAGGTGATTAAACAGGCTTGGAGAAAGATTTGGGGGGGCGGTTCTTTCTAGACTGGCTGTATTTAAAGATCCAAGAACTTTTGGCCTCTTATGAGCTCTCTTTTGGGGAGAGGCTAGAAAAGCATGGGGTAGTTTTAATTCCTGGAGAGACCTCTAGGCTTGTTAGATTCCTCTTTTGATTTCCTCCTCCCTCTGATTCCTCTGATTCCTTCCTTGGCTCAGTTATTTATGTCCTCAATACTGGTGAATGAATCAGCAGTTTTGGAATCACACTGTAACCTGTTAGAAATATAGAATCTTAGGTCCATGCTAGACCTACTGAATCAGAATCTACTTTTTGACAAGGTATACAGGTGATTTGTATACTTACACAAAATAATGAAGTTTGAAAAGCCCTGTTTTATAAATTCCTTCATGGGTGGATGAAGGAAGGTGTTCCAGATATGGCTTTTATGCTATAATTCTAGGCTTCTGGGTGTTTTGAACATTTTCCTTGAACACTGGAATTTGCATCTGGGCATTTGAGAACTATAACTTGACCACTCTGAATAAGCATTCTGTTCTGACCGCCCCACTGTTTAGTCCCTATGCCAGCCCTGCTAAGCCCATAAAGGAGAATTGGGAAGCTGCTAACCTCTATGCTTGCTGTCTCTCCTCTACTGAAAAGAGCCATGTCTTACTGAGTGCTGAGAGTATCCTTAGGTCCTCGGCAGGCATCCCATGGGAAGAGCCTGTCCAGGTAATTGGGTTGGACAGAGGAGAGACTAGCAGTGCTCATGGGAGTTCAGGGAGAGCCATTGTTTCACTTGGCTGAAGGTGGCGGGGGAGAGGGGTGGGGGAAGAAAAGAGTACCTCAGCTCCAGCTTTTAGCCAAATGGAAGATGAGTCTTTGGGTTAAACTCCTCCTTTTTCCCTCCCACCACTATAGGCTTAATCAAACCTTGGAATACTGTTCTTTTACCTCGAATCCGAGCATCTTCCTGCAGCTGAAAAATAATGAGAATTCAGGGAGAGTCAGAGACTTAGAGGCTAGTCTCCTCTGAAAATTCGGTATAACAGCTGTACACTTGGTCAAACGTAGTGATGTCTATGTGGGAAATTATGGGCTTTTAGGGGATGGAATTAAATTCTAAGTTTCCTGAAAGCAGAACTTTTATTTTTTGTGTGTCCTTCATACCAAACCACTTAACATAATACCCTGGATAGAGTATCTGCTCAATAAATGTTTATTGAATAATAAATAAATAGGATGAGATGTGGCCTCTTTAGGGGTGGGAGACACACAATTCATATGGTCATAATTGCTCATTTAGTGGTCTCTCCTCTTTTATTTTTTTCTGGCCTTTCTGCTCTCCGTTTTCTGGCCCCTTTACTCTTTGCATCTCCAGTGGTTCTCTGAGGAGAACCTTTTAATATCTCTGAAAGACCTTCAAAAAATCCTTCATACCCATCCTAGAGTAAACAGCTGGTGATGATATACCCTTTGGGACCCCAGAGCAAACAGGAGTCTGGTAGATCATCTCTCTGCATAATAGTGCTCTAGGCATGGGTCCTAATCTTTGTCTAATCAAAAAGAAAGTACATTCTATCTCTCCCTGATAATCTTTTGCTTGACATTATTCCCTCAGTATTTAAGTACAAAAATTGTTCTTAATAAGTCTGTGACTAGAGTGTCTGTTTTGGCTGTACCAGCCTGGAGGATCCTTGAGGGCAGGGATTTCTCTGGTGGACCCCATGAAGAAGCACAAGAAGAGAACTTCAGCATAGAGGACATCAGATGACTTTTAACTTCATATATAGGTCCTGAGAGGATGGAAATAAACACACACAAGTCCCGCTTATAGACAGGTTTCCTCCTTTTACTAACTGAAATGCTATCTGGAGGAGATACAGTCCTCAGGGAACTAAAGTTCTAAGTAGGGTGGAGGCACTCTGACCCTAAGGCTTGGGTAAAAATATCAAATTTCTGACCTCTAACCAGTGCCCCCTTTTACTTGCAGCCAGATGGAGGCAAAGACTGCTTCAATTTTCCTTAGAGTAAGTCCCAGACATAGCAACAGAATACAAAGCATAGCTTCTTGGGATATAGAATAGTTTCAGTTCTAAGGCCAAAAGTGGTTCAGGTAGTGAATTAGAGGAAACTTATTTTCAGTGCCTTCTCAGTTAATTTATACATCACCTCTTGCCAACTAGGAAGAGAGAACTATTTCTAAGAGTTTTAAAATATAATTTTAATGAAACTGTGTCTTTAGTCAGAAAAACAAAGGTTAAGACATCTGTCTAAAAGTTTCCCATTTACTTTGGTTTTATAATATTAGTACTTGTTCTAAGCTATGTGTTTACTTATATAAATAGTCACTGATGAGAAATTATGTAGAGAGTGCTTATTGTTCTCCACTGTACCAGGCAGAAAAAAAAAAGGTGGGAAGGTGGGAGAGCAGGCTTGGTAGGATTCAGATATATCAAGACCTTGAGCAAGCTAATATAATAACCCAGTGTCTGGGAGAGGCCAATAATATAGTGCATGTTTGACCATATTTTAAAAATATTGACCAGTGTATAGAAAAAGACTGAAATCTGCATAGAGGAAGAGCAGAGGAGGAGGAATGTTTTTATTTAGCAAAGACATTTACTCTGGCCTCTAATTTGCACTTCTCTACAGTTAGTAGATGTACTTGCCCATTAAGGAAATGTACCATGTCAGTTGGGGACTCCTTCTAACTCAGTCACTTATTAGTGTTTTGTATAACTACACAGAGTATTCTTGCTGAGAGAAGTTCTGGTAGATACAATTTTCTCTGTTATATTTCCACAAGGGGGTTGTTAAACCTCTTCTTCCCTTAGCTTCCTGAACTTACAAGTCAGTGCAACTCTATAAAGGGAGAAATCACTAGATAAAGGAATGAAACTAAAACCTTGATCAGGGTCAACATCACATTAGGGTATAGTAAAAATGGAAGCAAGGGAAAGTGATATGACCAGGGAATTTAGAGAATTGAATATTAATCTCACCTCCTTTTGTATATCCCTAAAGGCCATTAACACCTGAAAAGAAGACACAAAAATTATGAAAAATTAATGTTCTAGGCTTTATTACAGAGGAATTTTATATATAGACTCTTCCAGATATTAGGCTATAGGGTGTGAATGCCAAGATGACTATGGCTTCCTAGATTTAACAATAAATCCCACTGACTTCTACTCTACATATATTTCTGGGCTACCATTTCTCCATATGGTAGATGGGTAAAATGCAGGAAGTTATTTAAAGAAGACTGAGTTGTGAAAGAAATATAAATTAAACCCACTACTACATTTGGTTTAATTGGTCCTTGTTCTGAAGCTAAGCATAGCTGTTAAAATCAACACATATTTGTATTTAAATTATAATACATAGGAGGACAACACCAAATATTGGTGAGGATACAGAACAGCTAGAACTCATACAATGTTGGAAGGTATATAGAATTGTATGATCATTTTGGGAAAAGCTCTGGCAGTTTTTGTAAAACTAAATATATAACTCCACTTGCACCAAGCTATGGATGGATATAATGACTGTTGGAAATCTGAGTTGCCTCATTTTGGGGAAAGGATGAGGACTTTGAGATAGATAGTTGTATCTTGTTTGGTGGAAGTAAAGATTTGTTTTTGTTGATACTCAGGAGTTTCAACATGTGTCTATGGATGCATATGGAAGCTGAATAGTCGATGGGGTGGACTATGCCAGTTATCTGTATACTGCCTGTGTTCACTCTTTGTTGTATCACATTCATCCTTTTTAATATCATAGGTATCCAGTTATGTACTGGTTCCCAACAGGATGGTTTTCTGTTGCTTACATAAGCAATTCACCTTTAGCTAATATAGTAGTTGTAAAAACATGAAAAAGTTATCCTATGCATTTTATTTTATATTTTTATTTAAAAATTTTTTTATTATGTTAGTCACCATACAGTACATCATTAGTTTTTGAAGTAGTGTTCCATGATTCATTGTTTGCATGTAATACCCAGTGTTCCATGCAGTATGTTCCTTCCTTAATACCTATTACCAGGCTAACCCCTCCCATCACCCCCTCCCCTTTAAAACCCCCATTTGTTTCCTGAAGTCTATCTCTCTCATGGTTCCTCTCCCACTCTGATTACCCCCCTTCATTTTTCCTTTCCTTCTCCAAATGTCCTCCATGCTCTTCCTTGTGTTCCACAAATAAGTGAAACCATATGATAATTGCCTTTCTCTAGTTGACTTATTTCACTTAGCAAAATCTCCTTCAGTTCCATCCATGTTGATGCAAAAGTTGGGTATTCATCTTTTCTAATGGCTGAATAGTATTCCATTGTATATGGACCACATCTTCTTTATCCATTCATCTGTTGATGGACATCTCTGCTCTTTCCTTAGTTTGGCTATTGTGGACATTGCTGCTATGAACACTGAGGTGCATGTGGCCCTTCTTTTCACTACATCTGTATCTTGGAGTAAATACCCAATAGTGCAATTGCTGGGTTATAGGGTAGCTCTATTTTTAACTTTTTGAGGAAACTCCACACAGTTTTCCGAAGTGGCTGTACCAACTTGAATTCCCACCAACAGTGTAAGAGGTTCCCCTTTCTCCACAACCTCTCCAGCATTTGTTGTTTATTGCCTTGTTGATTTTTGCCATTCTAGCTGGTGTAAGGTGGTATCTCAGTGTAGTTTTGATTTGAATTTCTTTATGGCTAATGATGATGAGCATTTTTTCATGTGTCTGTTAGCTATTTGTATGTCTTCTTTTTTTTTTTTTTAAAGATTTTATTTATTTATTTTACAGACAGAGATCACAAGTAGCCAGAGAGGCAGGCAGAGAGAGAGAGGGGGAAGCAGGCTCCCTGCTGAGCAGAGAGCCCGATGCAGGGCTTGATCCCAAGACCCTGAGATCATGACCTGAGCCGAAGGCAGAGGCTTAACCACTGAGCCACCCAGGTGCCCCTTGTATGTGTTCTTTGGAGAAGTGTCTGTTCATGTCTTCTGCCCATTTTTTCACTTGATTGTTTTTTAGGTGTTGAGTTTGAGAAGTTCTTCAGAGATCTTGGATACCAGATCTTTATCTGTAGTGCCATCTGCAAATATCTTCTCCCATCCCATGGGTTGCCTCTTTGTTTTGTTGCCTGTTTCCTTTGCTGTGAAGAAGCTTTTGATCTTGATGAAGTCCCAAAAGTTCATTTTCACTTTTGTTTTCCTTGTCTTTGGAGATGTGTCTTGAAAGAAGTTGCTGTGGCTGATGTTGAAGAGGTTACTGCCTATTCTTCTCTAGGATTTTGATGGATTCCTGTCTCACAATTAAGTCTTTCATCCATTTAGAGTTTATCTTTGTGTATGGTGTAAGAGAATGGTCAAGTTTCATTATTCTGTATACAGCTGTCCAGTTTTCCCAGCATCCTTCATTGAAGAGACTATCTTTTTTCTATTGGATATTTTTTCCTGCCTTGTTATAGGTTAGTTGACCATAGAGTTGAGGGTTCATATTTGGGCTCTCTTTTCTGTTCCACTGATCTATGTGTCTGTTTTGTGCCAGTACCATATGTCTTGATGATTACAGCTTTATAATACAGCTTGAAATCAGGCAACACGATGCGCCCAGCTTTTTCTTTTTCATCATTTCCTTGGCAATTCAGGGGTCATACAAATTTTAAAATTGTTTGTTCCAGCACTTTGAAAAACGTCAATGGTATTTTGGTCTAGATTGCTCTAGGCAGCATGGGCATTTTAACAATGTTTATTCTTCCAATCCTTGAGCATAGAATGCTTTTCCATCTTTTTGTGTCTTCTTCAATTTCTTTCATAAGTGTTCTGTAGTTTCTAGAGTATATCCTTTGCCTCTTTTGTTAGATTTATTCCAAAGTGTCTTAGAGTTTTTGGTGCTATCGTAAATGGAATCAATTCCCTAATTTCTCCTTCTATAGTCCCATTTTTAGTGTATAGGAAAGCAGCTGATTTCTGTGCATTGATTTTGTATCCTGCCACATTACTGAATTGCTGTATGAGTTCTAGTAATTTGGGGGTGAAGTCTTTTGGGTTTTCCACAAAAAGTATCATGTCATCTGCAAAGAGAGAGAGTTTGACTTCTTTGCCAATTTGAATACCTTTTATTTCTTTTTGTTGTCTGATTGCTGTTGCTAGGACTTCTAGTGCTATATTGAACAGTAGTGGTGAGGTTGGGCATCCTTGTCATGTTGCTGATCTTAAGGGAAAGGCTCTCAGCTTTTTCCCATTGAGAATGATATTCACTGTCGGCTTTTCATAGATGGTTTTTATGAAGTTGAAGAATGTTCCCTCTATCCCTACACTCTGAAGAGTTTTAATTGGGAAAGGATGCTGTATTTTGTCAAATGCTTTCTCTGCATCAATTCAGAGGACCATACTGTTCTTGTCTCTTCTCTTATTAATGTGTTTTATCACACTGATTGATTTGCGAATGTTGAACCCCCCCTTGCATCCCAGGGATAAATCCCACCTAGTTGTGAGAATAATATTTTTAATGTACTGCTGGATCCTATTAGCTAGGATCTTGTTGAGAATTCTGGCATCTATATTAATCAGGGGTATTGGTCTGAAATTCTTTTTGATGGGGTCTTTGCCTGGTTTTAGGATCAAGGTAATTCTGGTCTCATAGAGTCTGGAAGTTTTCCTTTTGTTTCAGTTTTTTGAAACAGCTTCAGGAGAATAGGTAGTATTTCTTCTTTGAATGTCTGGTAGAATTCCCCAGGGACTCCATCAGATTGTAGACTCTTGTTTTTTAGGAGGTTTTTGATCACTGCTTCAATCTTGTTACTGGTTATTAGTCTATTTAGGTGGTCAGTTTCTTCCTGTTTCAGTCTTGGTAGTTTATAGTTTTCTAGGAAGGCATTCATTTCTTCCAGGTTGCTTAATTTATTGACATATAGTTGTTGATAATAATTTATAATGATTGTTTCTATGTCCTTGGTGTTAGTCATGATCTCTCTCCTTTCATTCATAATTTTATTAATTTGGGTCCTTTCTCTTTTCTTTTGGATAAGTCTGGCCATTGGTTTATTGATTTTATTAATTCTTTCAAAGAACTAGCTTCTAGTTTCATTGATGTGTTCTACTCTATTTCTGGTTTCTAATTCATTGATCTCTGTTCTAATCTTAATTATTTCTCTTCTTATGCATGGCTTAGGCTTTATTTGTTGTTCTTTCTCCAATTATTTAAGGTGTAAAGTTAATTTGTGTATTCAGGATTTTTGTATTTATTTGAGTGAGGCTTGGATGGCTACATTCCCCATAGGTTTTGGACCAGCATGTTTTTGTTCTCATTGGTTTCCATGAATTAAGTTCTTCTTTCATTTCCTGGTTGACCCAAACTTTCTTGAGCAGGATGGTCTTTAGTTTCCAAGTGTTTGAATTTCTTCCAAATATTTTCTTGTGATTGAGTTCCAGTTTCAAAGCATTATGATCTGAGAATATTCAGGGAATAATCTCAGTCTTTTGGTGTCAGTTGAGACATGATTTGTGACCCAGTATGTGGTCTTTTCTGTAGAAAGCTCCATGTGCGCTTAAGAGGAATGAGTATTCTGTTGTTTTAGGATGGAATGTTTTGTATATATCTATGAGGTACATATGGTCCAGTGTGCCATTCAAAGCTCCTGTTTCATTGTTGATTTTCTGCTTGGATGATCTGTCTATTGCTGAGAGTGGAGTGTTGAGGTCTCCTACTATTAATGTGTTATCAGTATGTCTATTTTGGTTAACAGTTGGCTTATGTAGTTGGCTGCTCCCGTGTTGGGGGCATAGATATTTATAGTTGTTTGATCCTCTTATTGGATAGACCCTTTAAAAATAATATAGTATCATTATGTATCTCTAACTATGGTCTTTAGCTTAAAATTTAATTTGTTTGATATGATAATTGATACCTCAGCTTTCATTTGCAGTGTATTCACATGAAAAGTGGTTCTCCATCCCTTCACTTTAAGCCTGGATGTATCTTTAGGTTCAAAGTGAATCTCTTGTAGACAGCATATGGATGGGTCCTGTCTTTTTATCCAGCCTGCAACCCTGTGCTACTTTATGGGAGCATTTAGGCCATTCATGTTGAGAGTCATTATTTAAAGATAAGATTTTATTGTCATCATGTTGCCTATAAAGTCCTTGTTTCTATAGTCTGTTTAAATTTCTGATCTATATCACTCTTGGAGTCTTTCTCCTTTTATAGAACCCCCCCTTAATATTTCTTTCAGGGCCAGCTTGGTGGTCGCATGGTCTTTCAGTTTATGCTGGTTTTTGCAGCTCTTTTCTCTCCATCCATTCTGAATGACAGCCTTGCTGGATAAAGTATCCTTGGCTGCATGTTCTTCTCATTTAGTACCCTGACTATGTCTTTCCAGCCCTTTCTGGCTTGTTATGTCTCTGTGCACAGGTTTGATGCTATTCTGATGTTCCTCCTTCTGTGTGTAAGAAATCTCTTACACTTCACTGCTTTCAAGATTGTTTCCTTGGATCTAAGATTTGCAAACTGTACTATTATATGTCATGGCATCAGTCTGTTCTCATTGATCTTGGGAGGGCTTGTCTCTGCCTCTTGGACACGAATGCTTATTTCATTCTCCAGATTAGGGAAGTTCTCAACTACAGATTTGCTCAAATATATCTTCTAGACCTCTCTCTCTCTCCAGCCCCTCAGGGATCCCAATAATTCTGATATTGGAATGATTCTTTGAGTGACTAATCTCTCTCAGTTTGATTCCTTGGTTTTAATTTGTTTTTCCCATGCTGCCTTGGTTTCCTTCTTTTCCATCATCTTATCCTCTGGCTCACTAATTTGTTCTTCTGCTTCATTTACCCTGGCAGTCAGAGTATCCAGTTTAGACTGCATTTTGTTCATAGCATTTTTAAGTTCAGCCTGATTAGATCTCGTTTCTTTTGAGATTCTATATTGTCAATAATACTCTTCTCAAGCCTAGATACTGCCTTGATAATTGTTACTCTGAAGTCTATTTCTGATATCTTGGTTATATCCATACCCATTAGTTCTGTGGCAGAGGCCATATTCTCTGATACTTTCCCTTGTTAGGGGTTCCTCCTGTTAGTCATTCTGTTGAGGGGTAGTTGAAGGAATATACAGCGTCCAAATTATTGACCACAACCCAAGGAAGATATACCTGTTTTATAGGGACGTTAAGGTTGTCAGCCTCTTGTTCTTCCAGCCTGTCTTCTAGGGGAGCGGCCTGTTGTGCTGTTATTCAGGCAACTCTGTTTGGGCAGGGTTGCCCTGCCCCCTGTGGGGGGGATGGTCTCAGTGAAAACCAGGTTTTTTGGGCTTTTGTTCTCTGGTGGCTTTCCCTGGTGGCTTTCCATGTCTCTTCCGAGAGTCAAAGCAGAAGTGACCATATCCAAACCTCTATCTCAGAATAGAGAGATTGCCTTCTGCTCTTCACTGAGCTCTCCAGGCCACACTGTCTCCATTTCTGACTGTGCTGCCAAAAACTGCAGTGTCCTAGGTTGTACACCCCACAGAAGCACTCCCAGCCCTTGCTTCTGGGGCTGGGCATATCTCTGCCCTTTGTGCTTCTAAAACCACAAGCTGACCCTCCCTCCTTTTGCTCACAACCCCCATAGCTCCAGGTTTCAGTCTGGGGGGCTGCCCTAAAGTCCTTTCCCTGCTGCTACTGGTCTGCAAGTCTGTGCATGGTCCCCAGCTCGGGAAGCCTTTGCCTTCCCAGAGCAAGATCATGGAGGCTCCCTCCCCCTTCCATTTATCTTCTGATATCTGCCCGCAGAATCATGGCTCCCTGCTTCATACCTTGAGACCAACTGCTGGAGATACTCCCTTTGTAGAGATCCAGATATATCTTCTTACATCTCAGGCTGATTCATGGGTGTTTAGAATGGTCTGGTAGATATACAGCTTAATTCAGGGGACTGGTTGAAATAGGATCCCCTACTCCTCTGCCATCTTTTCCTTCTTCCCTCTAAGGAATTTCTTATCCTACCCATTTTAATTAAGAAGATTACTTTCTTCTGTAAAACTTATAGGAAGAGTAATTGAAAAATCACAGTGAATAAAGAAGTTGATCACATTACTCATTTCATATAATATTGTTCAGTGGGAGCTTGCAGGAGAGGCTGTGGAGACTTTTACTTGTTTTAACAGAAAATCCAGAGTCGTTAATTTAATAGTCTTTTCTTGCTTGGCCCCGTAGGGAAACTTATATTATGGGTTCAGAGGGATCAACCCCCTATCTAAGAGTTTAAGTGTACATGAAACTGAATTGTTAAGATTGGGAAGTTGAAGTAGTTGATATTTTTGGGAAGTCATCAGAAACTCCAAATAATGTCTGTAGTCTATGAACATTCACAGCAGCTTGCTCTGGCTATCTATTGGCATAGTTAGCTTCTCCACTGACATAGCATTCAAATGTAAAGTGAAGTCTGGCATTTTCATGTTTGAGAATTTGCCACCTCATTATTTTTGTATAGCTGGGAAACCAAGGACATTTTGTGAAAATGGAAAGGACATCAGTTTTTATATAATGAAAAGAAGCTACTCTCAAATTCATTAAATTTAAATCTGTTGTAAAGCAATTTCAAAATCCAGGCTGAATAATGTAGATTCTGAGACTTACTGCTCATCGCATTGCTTTAGTTAGAAAACCAAAGGCAACAAATTTACATTGGTGACCTAAGGGACCTTTTTTTAAATTTTCAACTCATAGTTGTCAGATTCCAAAACACACTCTTAATTGGACTCAACAATTTAATTTATTATCAAACATTTGATTTAATGAAGAAGGCTGTTTTTGACTGGATATCTTTAATTAAATAAATTTAAATGATTTAATCTCATGTCACTGAAGTGAGATTCAGTTATTTTTTTCTAACCACAAAAATGACAATTATTCTTTACATCCAAAGTACAGAATCATATTCTTTTGCTTCTCAACACTTTAGAAGTCTTCAATGAAAAACTGGTTTGAGTCTCTCAAATCTAATAAATTTGAAGAATAGGAAAGCTCCAGGCATAGTTTTCTACTTGTTAGTCATTATTCTCAGTTAAACTACTGTCAATAAATTTGGGAATGTCTAGGACATTTCAAAGCATTAAAAATTTTTTATTAGCAACCTCTGATCCCATGGAGTGAATCTGGTATTTGTACTCCTCCAGAATCTTTGTTAAAATACTTTAAAGAAATTCACAACAGAGAAATGCCTTAGTAATAAAACAATTTCCTATTATAAATAATTCAAAGCAGAATGCTGTCCAAAATATTGAAGTTATGTTGAAATTATATCTGAATGTGACAGTCCAATTTTGATGTCTTTTAGTGTCTTGATATAGACCTGCTGGCCATAGCCAATGGGAGGGAGAAAACTATCCTCGTCTGTGCTAATGACAAAAATCCCAATCACCTTCCAGATAAGACCTTTAGGAGCATTGGGAACACTTAACATGTTACTCTATGAAACTCACTAGTAATTATATGAAAATTAATCATTTTTAATGGACTTAATTTTGCATTTAAATAGATAAAACTAAACACCTCTACTCTTCAGGTTGAGTCATTTATTTTTTGAGAGGTTTATTTTTAAGCAAATTCATTCTTGGAGGGGCCAAATGTTTCAGAAAATTATTTTTATGAAATAGGATTTAAGGGCCACAGTGAAGTATTTGTTACACAATTTGAGTAGCTCTAAAGGTAAAATAACTTTCTTTTGGATCAGAAATGGAATTAAGATCTTTAATTTTCATAACAAAATTATAACTTTGTCTTCTTCTCATCCAAGACTTAAAATATATGTATTTCTCAAGTGGGTATGGATTTTTTGTTAGTGGATGAGATTTATTCTTTTTATTATTTATTTATTTATATTGTGTTATGTTAGTCACCATACAGCTCATCATTAGTTTTTGATGTAGTGTTCCATGATTTATAGTTCTTATTAAAAGGCTGGCAGAGAAAACATATTTGAGAGGGATTATCTAAATGGACAGGTGAATATCTAGAAAGTGCCAAGGTGCACAAAGATGAGTTTCTGAGGATTTGGGACTGGGTGAGTAATAGAGCAAGACAGGAGAGAGCACAGGAATCCTTCACTATCAATCAGCAATTACTCAAAGGGAAAGGAAGAAGTTTGCTCCTTTCTTAAGTCCTCTCTCCCTTTTCCCACTTCTCACCATGCTGTCAAAGATGACCCCTTCATACTCACTTGGTCCCACAGGGCTTCAGTGATTATTAGCTGTATTTCCTGTTGAAATAAGAGACACATTTTGGGAACATTACTCTAACTCTCCCAGAATTTGAATAGATACATCATGAAACTGATGGAATATAGGATATTTTTTTGAATGGAGATGGACACTTCAAGTCACCCTATTTTTCAGACAGTCCAAAGTCTCCTTTAGCCCTATTGAGTCCTTTTTAGGCTGTATCCCTTGTCATCTCTTGACCTAGCTGGTGGGTGACAGAGATGCATATTTTACCCTTATGAATACCCACATAGGCTGCCTTCCCCTGGAGTTATCTAGTATAGTAGTAGCATTGAAAATATTACCTAGTATTGGTAGACTGTGATCCACCAGTTGTAGTTCAGATCCCTGAACTACAGTGCCCAAGTCCTCCAAGATATGGTCCTTACTAGGCAGCTTTCTGCCTCCTGAGTGCAGTCCCTTCTCCATTTTCCTCAGAAACCAGGAGCTCCAAAGCAAACTGTCTATTTGGAATTCTTACCCACCTTTGGTCTCATTGTGTCATCAGCGGATTTTCTGGAAGGAAAGAATGACATAAGTCTGATCAGGCACTGGGTAGGTGATGTCAGCAAGACGGCAGAAAAGGAGATTCCAAGTCCTCATACCCTCCACACAAACATTAATTTTGATAACCATCATGGATGGGAATACCTCTGTGGCAAACCAGGAGTCCAGTGAAAAGATTCCAGCACCTCACTGGAGCAAAATGTCCATAAATAGATGCCTTGAAGAGGGTAAGAAAAACAGTTTCACTTTACTTATGTCACCCCTCCCCAAAGGCAGTGTAACTCAGTGCCAGGAGAGATCATCTCAGCCTGTGATTTCTCCCAGGGGGAAAGTGAAAGTGGAATGAGCACCCTGTTTCCCCAGCCTTGTGAGACATTGCCCAAGAAGCCAACTTCTGTTTCAACCCATCCAGGTCACTGAGATGATCAGCATAGCTAAATATTTTGGGGGGATATGGGGAAAAAGAAAGGGAGTGGGCACTCACAGAAGCCACCATGTGGATCTCAAAAACCAGCTACAGATCCTACTAGGTGGTTTGTGGACTCTACCAAGAGACCCATCCATGAACGCTATGGGACTCCTTACCTGCACGTACCCCTAACCCCTCAACTGGGTGACAAATGCCCCTAACACTCTGTATATATCCTGAAGTGATGCATACAAGCTTCTGCAGATGGCAGGTGCAAGCATCTGCACAGTGTGTAGATATCAGCAGCTAGCTCAATTATGTAAGAATGAGAAAAGGCATATAATTTTAAATGTTCCAGGGCACCATCTTGGAGAAAATAAACAGGAGGCTCTCAGTACCCAGACTGACTTTATGGGATCAAGAGAAGACACAAAATCCTAAATGCTCCTAAAGAGGGAACAAGAACATAGGGGTGAGTACATCCATAAAAAAGGCCTGAGAAACCCCCCACATTTTTAGCTGGGCTGACTGGAGAAGGTCTTTCACTCTCAAGCTAGTCAGTAAAGATTAACAGTGGGGACCTCTTCTTTGAATGCAAAGATAACGATGGAAGAATTCAGGGAACATGAAGAATCAAAGAAATAAAGCTCCAGTGGTGGGCCCCAAAGAAATGGAAATCTAGGAATTGCCTGGAAAATGATTCAAAATAATCATATTAAGGAAGCTCAGTGAACTACAAGAGGGCACAGACAACTAGTGGAAATCAGGAAAGCAATACATAAACAAAAAGAAAAGTTTAAGAAAGAGAGGATAAGCATAAAAAAAGAACCCAGCAATTTCTGGAGCTGAAGAATACAGTGACTTCACTAAAGAATTCAATAAAGAGCTTCAACAGCAGACTCAAGCATAAGAGAGAATCATTGAGCTTGGAGACAGATAATTTGAAATTCAAATTCAAACAGAGGAACAAAAAGAAAAAAACATCTCAAAAGAGTGAAGAAAACCAATTCAAAAGAGTGAAGAAGTAACTTATGGGACACCATCAAATGACACAATAGAGACATTTTGAGAACCTAAGAAACAAGGAAAGAGAAAAGGACAGAGAACTTATTTAATAAAATAATGCCAGAAAAATCCCTAAATCCAGGAAAGGAAATAAACATCCTGATTCATGGTGCTCAAAAATTTCAAAGAGGCTGAAATTGAGAGGTCTTCACTGAGACATTATATTCAAATTGTCTAAAGGCAAAGGCAAAAAGAATATGGAAAGCAGCAAGGAAAAATGAAATGCTACATACAAGGCTACTTCCAAAAGACAATAAGCTGCCTTCTCAGCAGACACCTTGCATGCCAGGAGGGAGTAGGATGAACTAGCCAAAGTATTAAAAGAAAAAATCTGCTAACCAAGAATATTTTACCTGGCAAAACTATCCTTCAGAAATGAATGAAAGGTAGACTTTCCCAGACAGATAAAAGCCAAGCAAGTTCATCACCACTAGACTTGGTGTACAATACATGCTAAAGGGATTTCATCAAGTTGAAATGAAAGGATGTGAATTAGCAGAATGAAAATATAGAAGTGTAACTCTCCTGGGAAAAGGTAAGTATATAGTCTAATTCAGACTATTTCAGTACTGTAATGGTGGTGCTTCAATCATTTTTAATGCCAGTATAAAAGTTAAAACCCAATAGTACTAAAAGTAACTGTAGCTACAATAATTTTTTAATGGATACACGTTACAAAAAGATGTGTATATCGAGGCATCTGGCTGGCTCAGTTGGTAGAGCATGTGACTCTTGGTGTTGGGCATCATAATTGCTGATTTCAAGCTATATTACAAAGGTATAGTTATCAAACATTATGGTATTGTCATGTAAACAGAAACATAAACCAGTGTAATATAGTGGAGAGACCAGAAATTAATACACATATATACAGTAAACTAATCTTTGACTAGGGATACTAAGGAACTAAGGATACAAAATGGAAAAAAGATTTTTTTTTTTTCAAAAAATCTGTGTTGAGGAAACAGGATATCCAAATGCAAAAGAATGAAATTGAACTTTTATAACATGCATAAAAATCAAACCAGCATTGATTAAAGACTTAAAGACCTCAAATTGTAAAGCTCCTAGAAGAAAACAAAGGGAAAAGCTCCTTGACATTATTTTTAGCGATGTTTTTTTGGATATGGCACCATAAGTCCAGGCAACAAAAATAAAAATAAAAAAGTGGGACTATATCAAACAAATAACTTTCTGCACAACAACAACAACAAAAAAAATCAAGAAAACGAAAAGGCAACCTCTGAAATGAGAGAAAATACTTGCAAACCATACATTTGGTAAGGGGCTAATATCCAAAATATGTAAGGAACTCATATAACTCAATATCAAAAAAGCAAATAACCCATTTGAAAAATGGGCAAAGGACCTGAATAGACATTGTTTCAAAGAAGACATACAAATAGACAACAGGCACATGAAAAGTGCTCAACTTCATTAATCATCAGGGAAATGCAAATCAAAACCATAATGAGAATGGTCATACATGTTAGAATTATTATCAAAAAGACAAATAACAAGTGTTCGTAAAGTTGTAGAGAAAAGGGAACACTTGAGATGGGAACTTGTTGATCACTTAGATCAACACTTGTTGAGGGGAATGTAAATCAGTATAGCCACAATGGAAAACATTATGGAGGTACCTCAAAAAATTAAATAGAGCCGCCATATGAGCTAGCAATTCTACTTCTTAATATTTATCCAAAGAAAATGAAAACACTAACTTGAAAAGATACATGCACTTCCATGTTCATTGTAGCATTATTTACAGTAGTCAAGATATGGAAACAACCTAAGTGTCCATCAATGGATGAATGGGTAATGAAAATGTGATCTGTATTGATATAGATATCTATAAACTATATAACTCTATACAATGGAATATTATTCAGTCAAAAAAGAAGGAAATATGGCATTTGTGACATGGATAGAACTTGAGGGCATTATGATACATGAAATAAGTCAGAAAAAGACAGATACCAACTAATGAATCGTTGAATAGTACATCAGAAACTAATAATGTACTATATGTTGCCTAATTGAACTTAATTAAAAAAAGACAAACCATATGATCTCATTAATCTGTGAAATCTCTCCCACCCACAAAAAAACCCCCAAAACTGAATTCATAGAAATTGAGAACAGATTGGTGACTGCCAGAGTGGGGGGAAGATGGTGGGTGAAATGGGTTAAGGGGCCAAAAGTTACAAAGTTCCAGTTATAAAATAAGTTGTGGGGATATAATGTACAGCATAGTGACTATGGTTAGTAATAATGTACTGCATATTTGAAAGTTACTGAGAGAGTAGATCTTAAAATTTCTCATCACAAGGAAAAACATAACTCTGTATAGTGACATATTAATTAGACATATTGTGGCAGTTGTTTCATAGTATATAAAATATCAAATCATTTTTTTGTACACATGAAATCAATATAATGTTATGTTGATTATACCTCAATTTTGAAAAAAGATATCAAGTGTTGGTGAAGAGATAGACAAAGGGGAACCTTGGTATACTGTTGGTGGGAATGTAAATTGGTACAGACATTATGGTTAACAGTATTAAAAATTTTTAAATGGAATTACCATGTGAGCCAGCAGTTCCACTATTGGGTATATATACATGAGAACTGAAATTATTGTTCTTTAATGGATACCTATACTCCTATGTTCATTGCAGCATTATTTATAGTAGCTAAGATATGGAAACAACGTATTGTTTATGATAGATGAGTGATTAAAAAATGTAGCGTATACATACAATCAAATATTATTTTGCCTTGAAAAACAAGGAAATTCTGTCATTTATGACAACACTGGTGGACCTGGAGGACATTATGCTAAGGGAAATAAGCCAGACTGAGAAAGGCAAGTTTTATGTAATCTGTATTATATGTGGAATCTGAAATTGTTAAACTCATAGAAATAGAGGGTAGATGGTTGTTTTCTGGGGCCTGGGTGAGAGGGAAATGAAGAAATGTTGGTTAAGGGGTACAAAGTTTCATAATGCAAGATGAGTAAATTCTGGAGATCACTAATGTATAGCATACTTCCTATAGATAACAATACTGTACTGTATATTTGAGGGTAGTTTGGGATTGGATTGTATGAAAGCCTTTGTAACTGTAAAGTTCATTTTAAATATTACTTAATTACTATTACTAATTATATATTATATATTATACTTTTACTGTACTGCTATGTATTATATATTATTACTAATAATATATTAATAAATATAAACATTGTAATCACATAATTATATAATTATAATATTATGTTAATATTAATATAATAACTATTATATAATAGTTATCACTATTTTTCAGTGTCTTGCTCACGGCCACTGACAAAACATCTATTTGTCAGCAGACAAATCAGGTCTCTGTTGTTTATGTGCTTTCTTCATATATTTCTTATAGACTCCAATATCTACTCATTATTTTCCCCTTATAGTCCTGCATCTGTCTGCAAAAGACTTCATACTCTTAGAACAGGTTTCCATCTTCCTGCAGGTTTCAGGCTGCTCAGTTTCTCACTGGCTCTCAAGACTTGAGGTCTATTTAACTATTCTGAGCAATTTAATCAAAGACAGGCAGCTTAGAAACCTTGAAGACACTTTCTCTTCCTGAACTCCTACAAACTCTTATCTCAAAACATCTGCATACTTCAAAAGCTCAAGCCAAGTCCTAATTCCTTTCTGAAGCTTTCTTGAGCCATAAGCTCACTGCAAGCCTCCTTCCTTCCAACTTTATGGATAACATTGCCTGGCTCTCATACTCAGTTTCATGGGGGTAGATTCTAGCCCTCCTCTCCACCCTAGTCCAAGGGAAGCATAGTTTTGGATGGCTGGCCTTGATTTACACTACAGAGGAGGTAAGGACTTCTAGCAAAAGTTTATCCTGGGATAAAGAAATATCTGTAGGTTGTATACCCAACTAACTCCTAGAGGTATTTCAGATTGATGCCCACCCTCTAAAGTGAAATAACAAAGATCTAATATTCCTTCCATTGAGGAGGTGGGGAAGAGAGAGGACACACAAAAGTCCCCACCCTACTCTATCAGGAAATAGGTACAGCCAGAAGGGGGATGGAAGAGAGGTGACCCTAGTTTGTGTCCCATACAGCATATATAAAGACTTTTGAAGTTCATCATTAGCTCCATTTACCTATTCTGCTGCCTAGAGGTCCTTTGTTCTTGATCTTGGAAGATATGCTGTGCCATTTGTCCTTGAACAGAAACCAGAAACTCTGGAGCTGAAGATGGAAATAGCTCTAGGCCCTGGGAAGGTACAAATGATAGGGGGAAGAGGACAGGTTTATAGTGAGAAGAGAAGTGTTTACTTACTAGAGAATACCAGGACAGAGGTCTCCATAGTTCCTTAAGCATCTGTGTTTTGAATGGGTCAATGTGTGTGTGTGTGTGTGTGTGTGTAGAGAAAGATAAGGGTGAGAGTAGGAAGTATAGAAGTATAGCCCCATGTAAGTCTCTATCCTTTTTTTCATAAAAACAGAAATTCCAATGAGAAAGTAGGTGAAGAAAGAGAAACAACGTGAGTAAAAAAATAATAGCTGAAAAAAAATAATAGCTGGCTGAGATTGGGGCTACCTCACAGTCAGAATCTTCATGGTCAACTAAGGGTAGCACTATAGGCTAGAAGTCTATCAGCTCCAGCCTTCAAGTCCTTTGAGGGAAACCTCATAGTTGATAGTGTCAAAAAGACATGGGGCTGAGAGGCTAAAGCAGTGACCTAGACAAGAGTTAAACCTTCCTCTGAAAATTTGCCTCCCAGCTTCGCCCTCCCATCCTTCCCCAGCTCCAAACCCAAGTCAGAACTAGGCCAGTTATGCCCAGAAAGTTACCCAGCTGGGCTTCCCAAGTTGTAATTCACCCCACTCTTTTCCCCCTAGAATTTCTCCTCTTTGAGCCCCATCTCATAACAACCCCATCTCATCTGCTCTCATCTACCTTGCTCTTATCAACTCTCTGTGACTTCAGCTGTGACATCATAGATCTGAGACAGTGGGCTCTCCCCTCCCACCCTCAGCCCAGGCTCCATTCAGTCCAAATGATGATAAAATAATGAGATAATATTATGAAATTTGAGTTTTGTAAGATTTTTTTGCTGCTTCATTGCCTTCCACTCATTGCATTAAACAGCCAGTGCTTCTGAGAGACAGTAGGATTGGGCTTAGAGGAATCCACCTTTAACTTTGAATTTCAAAACAAGGTCTGAAAAATTTGGCTTTCAGTTTCTTTTTTTTTTTTAAAGATTTTATTTATTTATTTGACAGACAGAGATCACAAGTAGGCAGAGAAGCAGGCAGAGAGAGAGGGGGAAGCAGGATTCCTGCTGAGCAGAGAGTCTGATGCGGGGCTCGATCCCAGAACCCTGGGATCATGACCCGAGCCAAAGGCAGAGACTTTAACCCACTGAGCCATCCAGGCACCCCTGCCTTTCAGTTTCTTAAAAAAAACTTTTTAAAATTCCAGTATACTTATATACAGTGTTATATTATTTTCAGGTGTACAATATAGTGATTCAGCAATTCTATACATTACTCAGTGCTCATCAAGGTAAGTGTACTCTTAAACTTCTTCACCTATTTCACCCTTTCCCCTGCCACTTCCCCTCAGGCAACCACTAGTTTGTTCTCTATGATTAAGAGATTTTTTTTGCCTCTCTTTTATTTGTTCATTTGTTTTAGTTCTTGAATTTCACATGTGAGTGAAATCATATGGTGTTTGTCCTTGTCTGACTTATTTCACTTAGCATAATTCTGTCTGGATGCATCCATGTTGTTATTAATGGCAAGATTTCATTCTTTTTATTGCTGAGTAATATTCCATTGTTTATATATACACCACCTCTTCTTTATCCATTCTTCTATTGATGGACACTTAGGTTGCTCCCATATCTTGGCTATTATAAATAATGCTGCAATAAACATGTGGATACATGTAGCACTAAGTTAGTGTTTTCATTTTGGAATCCTTGTATACCTTGTGCCCTCAGGCAGCGCCACTGGGAGGCAACAGCTGGAAGCTTGTGCTTTGTTTCTCCTGGATTTTGCCACATCATGTTTTTCCCTTTGCTGATTTTGATTTTTATCCTAACCCTGTAATAAACTGTAACCATAATTAGGACAGCTTCCAAGTCCTGTGAGTCTTTCTGGTAAGTCATCAAGCCTGAGGGTACTCTTGGGATTCCCAGCATAATGTCCCAAATCTCAGCAGCTTAAAATGGAAAGGTTTGTTTTTTGTTCACATTACATGTCCTTTCTTGGTGTGGGGGAGCTTATGAGAAGGGCTATGCTCTATATCATCTTCACTTGGGTCATCAGGCTAAGGGAGTTTCTTCTTCATGCTTCAGCAATTTCTAACATAGGAATACAAAAACATGATGAATCATGCCCGTTTTAAAAAACACTTTCCTTAAACTGACACATAACTTCCACTCATACTTCATTGGCCCAGATAAGACATATAGGCACTCTTAGCTTTGAGGTAGCTTAGAACAGTTCTCTCCCATCATCGGGTCAGACAGAGAACTGGAGTATCAGTGAATAGCAATGCTAATTACCTCAGCATCTACAAGCTCTGAAAGTCCTGGCTTGAGACATTTTCCATTTAGAACAGGATCTATTATGCAGAGAAAAAAATTACAAGAAGTATAAGGAAACTAGAGAAGTACAGTTTCATTACATTCAAGGGACTACAGAAATCAAAGATGATTGGAGGGGTTTGGGGTGGGAGGTTGGGTGAGCCTGGTGGTGGGTATTATGGAGGGCACGTATTGCATGGAGCACTGGGTGTGGTGCATAAACAATAAATTCTGGTACACTGAAAAGAAATTAAAAAAAAAATAAAATTAAAAAATAAATAAATGAAAATTAAAAAAAAATCAAAGAAGAAAGAGGCAGTTCAGATTTGTCAAGAATAAGATTTTGGTGCCTAAACAATGTTCAGTTCCTGAAGAGAAGGATAGATGGAAGCCAGCTTACAGGAAAAGTGGGGTTTAAGAAAAGAATTGATGACTAGGAAGTAATGTCAGTATACCTGGACATGCTGTTGAAAAGCACAACAGCAAAAATAAGAGAAAAGATTTGATAAGTTCTACTAAACTGCTCAATATCTGTGTTTGAAAACCTAAGTAAAAGATTTACATGTTTTGGTGAAGAAAAAAGTACATGAGTCTGTTCATCCATGCTGAAACATTTCAGTCTACTTTCTAAAATGAGAAGAGAGGTATCACCAGGGTAGGGGTTTTCTAAAAAAAAGCAATGAGGGGGTGCCTGGGTGGCTCAGTGGGTTAAAGCCTCTGCCTTCAGCTCAGGTCATGATCCCGGGGTCCTGGGATTGAGCCCTCCATCGGGCTCTCTGCTCGGCAGGGAGCCTACTTCCTCCTCTCTCTCTGCCTGCTTCTCTGCCTACTTGTGATCTCGGTCTGTCAAATAAATAAATAAAAATCTTAAAAATATATATAGACTACATGGGAGTTAGGAGAAAGCAGTTGGGGGAAATTGGAAGGGGAGGTGAACAATGAGAGACTATGGACTCTGAAAAACAATCTGAAAGGTTTGAAGAGGTGGGGGGGTGGGAGGTTGGGGGAACCAGGTGGTGGGTATTAGAGAGGGCACGGACTGCATGGAGCACTGGGTGTGGTACAAAAACAATGAATACTATTATGCTGAAAATAAATAAAAAAATGATTAAAAATATATATATAGACTATAAAAAAAGCAATGAGGTACTTTGTGGAAAGGATGTATCAGAGATAAAACAATAATAAAGAGAGATCAGTAAGTTGATATAAACATTATTTAGTTGATTTTGTGAATGTTTATTAAGCACCTGCTAGGTCTTGAGCACTAGGATGGAAATAGAGCAAAATAGATGGAGGAGATGAGGAGATGGTCCCAGTCCTTGAATGGCCCTTTTGTAGTTAAGCAGTAATGTTTGGGTGAACTATGCAGTAATTGGCAATGTTAATCGGGAGGAGGTCAACAGAGTAGTCACTGTTAGAATAACAAAGCAGTAGAAAGGATGTGTGAAGGATGTGTGAACAGTTATGGAAAGGAGGAGTCTATTCTGTCCAAACATCCCAATAATAAAATGCCATGGATGTTAAATTATTTGAGTTATGTGTTTTAAATGTTTATAGTTCAGGATTTTAACTGGTGTAATCCCTTTCCTGTAGCAGTCAACTAATATTTTCTAAATCCAGCTAGCTTCTCAACAATTCCAATGAGTGAGGTTGAAGACAATTTATGCTTGCAATTGGCTATGGTAGATCAAGCTGGAGCTCACTAGGAAAGCCTCAAGGGTATCCCCTCTCCTTTTTGCATTTCTGATACTTTTGCTGAGAAGAAGCTGAAGACAAAGTGGGCATCTGGCCAGTTTCTTCAGAAGTCTTTAAATGAGGGAGGCTAAGATTGTTGCCCAAGCAGTTTTTCTTGAGGTTGGACACTGGGGACCTTCTTCTACAAATTTTCCTCAGCTAAGTTTCCTATGATCTGTCAGAGGAGGCAGAAGCTGCTGGAGCCTGAAGAGACCAGTGTAGTTTGCAGTAACAAGACCCCGAGATACCTGGCAGAATCTTACTTCCCATTCTTGCCCTGTGGCTAATAATGCTCAATGGGATCACAGTTGCTTCTCCCCAGGATAATATTTTAATGTCATTGTGGATGTAGAGAAAGCCAAACAAAAAGAAGAGCGAAAGCCAGAGAAGGCAGCTGACTGGAGAGGCTCATAGGCTTCTGGGCATTGAGGCTGACTTACCCAACCCACTGGAGAGAAGTCATATGAACCAAGGGCCTTTCAGAATAATTGTCCCTGCCTGAGGCTCTGGAGGCTCAATTTCCTCTAGTTCTCAAAGTGTAGTCCTCAGACCAGAGGCATCATTACTGGCCTGCAGAGCTTAACAAGTCAAATTCTTTTTTTTAAAAAATATTTTATTTATTTATTTGACAGAGATCACAAGTAGGCAGAGAGGCAGGCAGGGAGAGAGAGGAAGGGAAGCAGGCTCCCCGCTGAGTAGAGAGCCCGATGTGGGGCTCGATCCCAGGACCCTGGGATCATGACCTGAGCCGAAGGCAGAGGCTTTAACCCACTGAGCCACCCAGGCACCCCAACAAGTCAAATTCTTGAGCTCCACCCCTGGACCTACTGAATCAGAAGCTCTTGTGGGCTTGGCAACAATGTGTTTTAACACAATTCAGATG